ACGCACATTTGCTTTCCTTCAGTTTATAGATCAGCTGTATTATAATTTCCAATCTCGCAGCTAAACGACCATTGAAATATGTATATTCTACGGTACCTGCCAAAGAATTTTCGGTTCTGGTTAGCCAGTCTTGTTCCCCCTGCCATACTGCACAGTTTGAAAGATCACACTGCTATTTCCTGATTCTGTTTCCAGTGTCACCTCTCTGACTCTAGATGTTTAATTGAAAAAATTAGTTTGCATCATCTCCTCTGCCACTCCTCTGGCACTGGAGGCCACCGCATATAGCGCATCGACCTGAATGGAGTGTACACTTTGGGGTCTATTTATAAACAAAGAAAAAATGTATTGTTTTGGGCACTGTCACAGGGACATGTAGATTGCAGGACTGGCATAGCAGATTTACAAATACAGACACTCCTCAGGTTATGAAGGGGTTACGTTCTGGAAAATACATCGCAACACTAAAATATCACAAACTGAGGAGTGTACTTTTGTGTACTGTACTGCCGCGGTCGGCAGCAGGCGCTACACAATGGAATCAATAGCAAGACTGCTATTGGTCATTTCAAATTGCAATAGCCAATAGCAGACTGGCTATTTAATCCCTGCCTACTAAAAGAAGGAGTGGACTTGAGAGAGAAAGTTCTCTCTTAGGTCTGCGCCTCTGCTCAGTGGGAGGGTGCAATAGCCAGCCTGCTATTGCAATATAAAATAGCCATTAGCAGTCTTGCTATTGATCCCGCTTGTTAACATTCATCTGCCGGCTGCAGAAGCGAGCCGGCAGGTGAATAGGGAAGCGGATCATACTGTACAGTAAACTCCATCGTAAATGTGGAAAAATCATAAGTCGATTGATCGAAACCCGAGGAGCATCTGTATTTTGGCAGGGAAAATGGTTCAAATAAATGTGTTTAATCTCTAATTCTTTAAAGAATTGCTGTGAGCAAAAGACCTGCAGAATGTTGTTCCTTAGGCTGGATTCACATCTATGTACATTTGCATGCACTGTCATTGTCAGCAATAGGCCTTTAAATACTTACCGATGCATAAAAAAATGGACATGAATTTTATCAACCCATGCACAACACGTAGAAGTGAACTTGAACCATTTAAAACAATATGTAGACTGTGTACATGTGTTGTTGTGCATGAAAGCTCATGGGTGGAGATGGGCTCTTAAAACAACTCTGTACAATTAGCCCTCGTTCACACCACTGACTTTGTTCTGCTCTTGACCAACACCAGGCACTGCAAGGACACACAGAAAACATTTGTTTTCTATGTGCCCTGTTCACTTTTCACTGCTGGTGCGATGTGTACTGCGGAACATGCAGACATGCTGCATCGCAGCAGGGTGGCACTGGAGGCCACCGCACATAGCGCATCGACCTGAATGGAGTGTACACTTTGGGGTCTATTTATAAACAAATAAACAATTGCTTGTTTTAGGCAAATAATGCCAAAATGAGTGTTATTAATATATTTTCCCAGCTCTAATGCAGTCTTGTAGTAATTTATCACCTCTGCTCATCAGTTCCATCTAGTGGCCATAATAGACTATTACAACAACACACTACAGTCAAACTGTAAAATCCCATCTAGTGGCCATAATATGTTTTTACAACACTGCATTCAAACTGGGATTAAAGAGCAACTTTACCCATATCTTTAAAATATCAACAAACACACCTTTAGAAATGTTTAGTAATGTCCATCTACAAACACATACTTGCCGGCTTTTTATTCACACCCTATTTATTCTTCCATGGTCTTCTGACAGTGGCCATTTTATGTAGATTACTAGGTCTCTCTTTACTTCCTGGAACTCTGGCGCCTGTGAATAGAACATGTGACCATGCACATCATCTCGGGATGAAAATGCCTTTCCCTGAGATCTCATGAGATTACAGATGAGATTTCCTAGCAATGATCTGCTGATGTAACCTTCCCAGGATGCAACGCTTGGGCACATTACATCATTTATGCCAGAAGTGGACCAGGAAGTGGATAAGCTTTGGAAGGCACCCACTAAACATCGCGGACACCAGGCGCACCATTTTAGCATGTGGCTAGTATGAACCCAGCCTTAATGAAGAAATTAAAGTAATGCTGCACCATTGTAGAGGTCACCATAAGGTTTCTGCCCCTACAGTGTCTGCATTGCCCTGATCTACTACTTAATCCCTTTAAAAAAATCCATCTCTCTTGATTAGAAACTTGGCCCCAACGTCCAAGTTTAGATTTGAACCTTCAGTTCTGGTACTACGTCAACTCACAAGGAAAAGCACTTGTAATTCAATATCATTTAAGCTTATTCTTCGCACTTTAAAAAAAAAAATGTTTAGCTCCTGAATTTCTCCCATAATCTTTGTACCTGTTTACAGTAGCACTGGCGTCCATGTTTGTATTTAGGAGATCTCAGTGGGAAGTAAATGTAACAATCACTTCTAATTAGTGCTGTAAATAACCAACATTTTCACAGTTCATACCCCCCTTCTATTTGTTGCAGCCAGGTCTAAATCTGTATCTGTCTTTTGACCACAAATCAAAATTGAGTGGTGGGTAAACAGTGACATTAACTACAGCGGTTTAAACCTTCTTCTGCAATTATCATTACAAATGATATATATGAAACAAGATTCTGTTTGAGATAATGTATGCAAATTTCTGTTTTCTTGAGCAGAAATCGTAGCTTTTACACAGCCCAAGTTATATATTATTTCATTAACCTCCAGTAGCTAAGCTTGTGATCAAACATCCGTTATTGTAGCACACAGAATGAGATGTTTAGTGATGTCTATTCTGCAAGATGTTTGCATTGTTTTTCTGCAGCTTGAAAATAACGTGTGTGTGAATATACATTATGTCTATATACATGCACTTGTGTTATTTTGTAAAAAAAACAAAAACCTATGTGTAGAGTATAGCCAGGTCATTACATTTAATTATAACATGTATTTTGGAGAGTGGCCACCTGCTGTAGTAGAATCCAGACCACTGTCTTGTGTGATGGAAACTATCATCCCAGTTTATTAAGCGTATATACATGGCACTTGAATAGCATAGTGGATGTGCTAGATTGCTTACATGTTTACTTGCTGAATGACATACGACATACCCCCTATTAATACCAGCCACACCCATGTATGTATCCCTCCAGACATCCCAAAAAAACTCTGTGAAAGCACTCACCTCATAGTTCTCCTTTAATTAACTAAAGTATAAAGATTGATTTCAGATAACTACACAAGCAGTATCTAAAATGCATTCATTTGTTTCAATTAATACATAAGTTGAATAATAGCTTTTTCATTGTTTAAAGAAACAAAAGAAGGATCACATAAATATTTATACACATTGAACATATCCCATGTGCTACTGTCCTTGTTTTACTTAGATTAGGAAGATGCAATAGACCATTGGTCTAAATTAAGGGGTGCACCCAAGTATCCTGTTACCTCACATTTTTCATTCAATTATATATTCTTAGTGAGCTTTCTGTTGGTTGGTTGCATTTTTTCTAAAATATGTTTATCAACATTGATGTCGGTTTAATTTTTGACATCTTTTAGATATTGGTTTCATTTTACTAGAATTACTTTGAAAGTTGTTGAATAGCAAGAAAGATCTTTAACTGAAAGGCATGTATTATTAAGAAAAAAAAATCACTTTTTTAATGGTAAAAAAAAATAATAAAATAAAAAGGTTAAAGGACTTAGTGGTAAAACTCATTAACTAGACTTAGATGTAATTTCTGAGTGGACACAAACTGATCATAAAGGGCCATTGCCAATGGTCTGCTAGTGTGCAACATTCTAATACAGCAGCATGGAACATCCAGTTGGCTGTTTTTGTTTCTAAGTGATGTGTAGAAGGTGCCAGCCAATCCACACAGCCAAGCCTTACCCTACAAATGCTTGAAACATGAGGAATCGAGAGCCTAATTTGAAAATCTGTATCCTGTGCTAAATAAGTTATTATTCAGTCTGGTGTGGTTGGCCATGTAAGTGAACTCTGCTTGTGTTAAAACCCTGCATTTCATTCCTTGCCACTGCTATTCACTATTTATTCTGACATCCTCTTAGAATGTTTCTGTCATAGACCCCTCTGAACCCCACTATCTGCTAGGAGTTTGCATGTTCTCCCTGCGCTTGTGTGGGTCTCTAGTTTCCTCCCACACGCCAAAGACATGCTCGAAGGTTAATAAACTCCTGTCTTAATCGGCCCTAACGTGTGTGTGTGTGTGTGTGTGTGTGTGTGTGTATGCATGTGAGATGGGGACCTTAGGTTGTAAGCTCATTGAGGGCAGGGTCTGATGTGAATGTGCAATATATAAAGCGCAGCATAAATTGTCAGCGCTATATAAATACCTGTAATAAATGATAAATAAATTACCCAATTCAGCAGAGTAATGCTTAGGTGAGGATCAGCTTATGTGATAATGAGCTATTGCATTCATCAAAAGTTCTCATTGGGCACAGATTTGGTCATGCTTCTCATTAAAAGAGGGAAAGCATGTTTCTGCATGTATGTCTCTTCTGCACATTAGGTCAGTGAGTTTCTGGCAGTTTTTAAAGCAGGCGGTGATGTCTCTGTGGTCATGCATGGGTTAAGTGTTGGATGTCCATGCTTAAACTAGTACAAAGTTTTCATGGATGTGGTAGAATGGATGGTGTAGGACTCTCTGCTATTTATTATTTGCTTTTAGATATCAGCTTTATCCCTCAGATCCTGTTTTCCTTTTAAACCTTCTCAGACAGCACTTTACAAAAAGAAAAATGTCCAAAAGTAAAGGCAGATAGGAGTAAAATATTAATGGAGTACACCTGAAGCAATCATGCCCTCTTAATGCCTTGACCTTGGAAAGCAATATACAAGAAGGTGGCATCGTAAAGTCATGCGCTTCTTATGAATATGGATGTGCTACTTGATAATAATGAATGTGGCACTGTCATGCATGCACTACAAGATAATGTTGTGCCCTCTTTTGTCTACAGGTTGATAAAAATTAAGGAGTGGGTGGACAAGCATGACCCGGGTGCTATGGTCATCCCTTTTAGCGGGGCCTTGGAACTGAAGCTGCAAGACATGAGTGATGAGGAGAAGCAGAAGTATCTGGAAGAGAATGTGACACAAAGGTTAATTAGCATTCATTTTCCCCACACTTTATTATCAACTATTTCCTTGCTGTAATTTAATTGCTTGCACTGATAGAATAATAAATGACAGCGTAATTACCATTATAAAGAGGGAATCTTCTCCTTTCTTTATCATGAGACAGAGTTGAAAAGATTTATTTTAAATTAAGCTTTTAACTGTCATCTGTCATCAGAGAGATGTGTTTT